ATAATATCCCATCATATTCTATAATGCTTCTATTCTGGGGTTTCACTGCAATCCAATATCCTTTTAAAATCTCATTCTTTTAAGTCCTGGAGATCTCATGCTTGGAAGTCTCAGGTTTTCATTCTGACTTCAATTACAGGGTACCCTTGTTTTGCAAAGAAAAATTATCTAGTGAAGCTGAATTCATGGCAACATTCTGTGAAGCACACATGCATTCTGAACATTCTCCCCAAAGAAAACAACTAGTCAATTTCTTGCCAATGTTCTGGTGAAAAAAGAAATTAGAGATCAGTTCTGTGATTCACTAGGCATTGTAATGCCCCAACACTGCGATCTAAACTTTCTGGTAATTGCTGTCTCTCCCTTGTTCTCTATCTCTCCTTGTTTTACTTTCAGAGTCCAGGAATTCTTTCCTTATGTCAGTCAGTCACTTCCTTGTAATTTTTCTCCCTTCTTATCTCCGGATGAGTCAAAAACTATTTCTCACAGGTCTAAACCCACTGCCATCAAGTCGATTCTAACTTATAGTGATCCTCTAGGAAACCATAGGGTTCTTCATCTTTCTCCCACGGAGCAGCTGGTGGGTTTGAACCACTGACCTTTTGGTTAGCAGCCAAATGCTTTAACCACTATGGCACCAGAGCTATTACCTGTTCTCAGGGAATAAGATAGATAGAGTAGTATAAGGAATATCTGACTATTGGTAGAGGTCTGAGTTCTAATAGCAAGCTATGTGACCTTAGACAAGTCACTTCCCCTATCTGGGTGTTAGTCCCCTCACAGGAAAATAATGATCACAGTAACAATAAAAATATACTAAGCATATTGTATGTGCCAAACACTGCACTAAGAACTTTATGTCATTTATTTAATCCTTGCCATGTTTCTATAATGAGCTTATTTGGCTGCTAACCAGAAGGTCAGTGGTTCAAACCTATCAACTGCTCCGAGGGAGGGAGCTGAGACAATTTACTTCTGTAAAGATTTATAGCCTTGGAAACACAATGGGAGTGGCTATGAATTGGAATCAACTCAATGGCAGTGGGTTTGGGTTTATGTTTCTGTAAGGCAGGGGTTATTATGATCCCCATTTTACAAATGAGGAAACTGAGGCTTAGAGCGGTTATATCACCGCCTCCAGTTATTACAGCTTATAATTCAAGTTCATCTGACTGACATTCTTACCTGTAAAATACAGGAAGTAGGCTACTTTATTTCTAAGGTTATTTCATTTCATGATCTAGAATCTACAAACTCTCACTGGCCTCCTTACTCTGCTTGGGTGTTGTTGTTGTTGTTGTTGTTATATGCCGTCGAGTAGGACCCGACTCATAGCGACCCCTCCTT